CTCCTGTTTCTGTGTGCCGGAAATCACCTGAAGTGGGTACAACAGGTTCATTTTGGAAATCTTTAGTCAGATGAATGTTTGAAGTTTCTTACTAAGTCATCAGATCACACAAGACCTGGAAAATGCAGGCCACATAGCTCAGGCAGAACCTAGTAGCAGGAGCCTCCCTCCAGGGCTGGCTTGCTTGTCTTTATCTACTGGGAGGCATTCAGGAGCCTTCGGCACACATGGTGTGGAACAGACAATTGCCAGAGGAGAACTAGACAGGCAAAGGTGGGCTGAAGGGACCCTTCCTTTGAGCTGTCACAAGAGACTCCATCTCTGATAGCTGGAATCTATCTTTCCAAATGAAAAAGTCAGTTGCTAACTAAAATGAATATGCAAAGGTGCTTATTCCCAGTCTAGTAATAATGCAGGCAGTCAAATCATCTGTCATTCAACTTAATTTAATTATCAGGACACATTTAATTATCTAATACAAAATGTAAATAAAGTGAAGGGCTGACAGCACATACTAATTATGTTCATTATAATAATTAAATGGGAAGGAATTTAAAGAGACTCATGAAACTGCCATAAAATACAAGGAAGCTTTTGATTAAAACAACATTTTAATTAGAAACTGCAACCCTATAGGGACTAGATGATTAGTTCCATCAAGGATGGGGCATTACTTTTATTATCCAGGTTTTTCTTTTGAAGTCATCCTTAGTATCGTGGGGCTCAGTCCTTCAGTTAATAGACTAAATGGTAACAAATAAAATGTGCCAGCCCTTTATGCAAAGCCGTCGCTAATCATACAACCTGACGACAGCAGGGGTTTAGGCTCCCCTGTCTTAGGAAGACACAAGCTATTTCCCCAGTAGGAAATCAAGGATCCCAAGTGGACAAACCAGCTCTGCAAATGAACGTGATCTACGACTGATGACATGGACACTGTCAATGAATTGAGCATCATAATTTCTATAAAATTCCTGATTTAGAGACACTGGCATTAGGCTAAATAAATTCCCTTTCATAAGAACGGAAGTGAAGTGTAAACTCCCTGGACTGCCAATGGTGAGGCTGGACTCGGCCTCTTCTTGCTTGGTAATTTCTTTTCCTTCTCTGAGCCTCAGTTTCTCCACCTACAGTATGAGGAAGATGGACTAGATATCTCCCAGAGCCCTCCTAGGATGTAGGCTTCAGGAATTTTTGATTGAAGCTGGGTGAGTGCTTAAAACTATACTTAGTACATCCCCTTACCAAATGCTCACTTAGCAAATTACTGGGTTTTGGTAGGGGAAGTAGAAAAAAAATTTAATAGAACTAGTTTTTATAATGGTTTACAGTTATAGAAAACCTCTCAGTTGTACTGAGATACAAGTAGTTATCACCTCAGCATACTCAGCCCTGCCATGCAGACTGGTATGGAGCCCAGCCGCGCTGCCGAGGACAGCCTCCTGGTACGGGTGAGATGACTGTGGCTGGAGAAGGTATCAGAGCAGGTCCCAGACATCTTACCTGGAGAAGTTTCTGCTTATGGGTGCCTGTCAATAGATCCCTCTATTATTATTGGGGCAGCCAAAGTATAGGGAGCTTCTAAAGATAAGAAGCCACATAGTGGGCAGCTGGCTCACTGAGCTGTCTGCTGCTGACAGAATCTGGAGCAGAGTGAGGAGGTCTGAAAAACCACAGAATGGCCTGGAGTCTTTGTGAGATCATGCTGGTGTGTCTGTGAGTCCAGCTTTAGCCTTCAAAATGTCACAGACTCATAGAGCTCACAGGGGAAATCATCTAGTACAGTAGACTTCTTATTTTTTATTTACTTTCTTGTATAAAATATACGTAACATAATTTACCATTTCAACCCTACAATTCCATGGCATTAAGTACATTCATAATATTGTGCAGCTATCACCGCTACTCACTCCCAGAACCAACCTACCTCTTTGTATGGCCAGGGACGCTCAAGCCTCAAGAAGGGAAAGGATTTATCTAAAATCACCCAGCTAGTGGCAGAGCTGAGGCTAGAAACCAAATATTCTACGCATATCTGCTAAATTGTGGTCCATTTGTACTCATAAATGAGTATCTGTATGAGTCTCCCTGAAAGGTACACAGATATGCCCTAGCAGGTTCTACGTCAGCATTCAGAGGGGCAGAATGGCAGCTTCTCAAAGCACGACTTTGGTGGGTGGGCGGGCCCATCTTCTACACTCCCTACCACCGTCCCACATACACTGCAGTGATTGCCAGTGGACAGTGCCTACGACACAGCTGACGTTCTTAAGCAATGTGTGATGGTGTGACAAGTGTGCTGAGTTAGGGTTTGCAAACCCTGGGTTCTAGTCTTGATCTTCCAGCAATTCGCTATGTAATGTCAGGGAGCTCCCTTCACTCCTTAGAATCTCAATTCCTCACCTGTGCTTATGGCCTCACTGAAAAGCTAATGAGGTTCAAGAGACAACAGATGGGAAGAACAGCCTGAAGAACCCCACTAGTGTGAGGGGTTGTGCTCAGAAACCATTTCCACAAGGTACAGTGTCTTTGCTTTTTCTGACTGCTCTTTTTCTGTTATTCCTTCGTCTCTACTTTTAAAAACCATATTTTTTCTTCTCATAGATTGTTGCACTTCAGCAACTGCCCGAGAGCTCAACTGACTTGTCCGATCTTCCCCCAAATCAGAAGTGGACATCGGGTTTCGTATTCAGTCCTTCTAGGAGGCAAGGTGTTGACACACGAAGTCTGGCTTTTTTCACTTTCCTGATTTTCTTCCTCAGAGTGAGCTCACCGCTTGGCAACGATCTCCAAACCCCACCGCACCTTCATCTTCCCTGACAAGTGAGATGATCTCCAGGTCCTCTTCCTCCTCTGTGTAGTCTAACCCTCTCACTGCCCATTTCATCTGCTTTTTTCTCACCTACATGTCCAGTCATCACTTTCCCACCAGGTCTAAGTCAGGTCTTACATGCCCCCCACAAATCCAAGCCCCCGGACTCCAATTCCCATCCACTCTGGTGAGCCCAGAAATAACAGCAGCGTGTGTTTTATCTAAAGGAGAGATTAGTCTGTGATCCAGTATCTGCAGAAAAACTCTGAAATATCACAAAATTCTGAGTTCAGTAAGTTTATCGTAACAGAGTTGGTTTAAGCATAAAGCTTCAAACCATCACGGACATGGGATACACTGAAAGAACCCAACTTTTTGCTACAGAATGGCCCACTTGGAAATATTACCACACAGAAATTACTCACCTCTTTCAAATGCTGTAGACAGTGTCATGATATATAGTAAACAGTTTAAATATGCAACAGGAAATTGTTAGGTAAACCATGAATATCCATATGAGATAAAGCCATTCATGATTAAAAATACTAACATGCCTGACACAGACAAGGTGATGAAAAAATTCCACAAAGAGTGCCTGTGGTACAGCGCTGAGTGAGCAGGACAAGGCGTTTGTACAGTATGACCTCAGCGATGAAAATTCCTCATAGAAAAGAGACTGGAAGGAAACCTGCCGAAATGTTAACAGTGGCTGGCTGAGATGTTGAGATTGGAGGAACGGATTCTGTTTCGTTCTTTACATTTGCCCTGTCTTTTTCATAATAAACAAGGAATATTTTTCATCCAAGAAATAAAGAAAACTTTTAAAAGAAAATAAAATGAAATTTAGTAGGGTGAATGGATACAAGTGAAGAAAAAAAATCCACATGGAAGATTTCCCTCAGAGAATTTTGCAAGGGACTCCTGAACCTACAGGGGCGGGACAGCAGAAAGGACAAAGCACCCCACTGGGAGGTGACTGGAGGGGAAGGGCATTGCCTGAGAGCTACTGTGGTGGGAGGGGAGAAAGCCACATCCGCTCTGCTGTCAACAAAGTCTGCAAATGGGCAACTTTACTGAGCGTATTCTGGTGGGGGGGGGGTGTCTAGATTTTCTGTATCTTAACCATGGGAATCTTTCTAAGGCAACTGCTGCTTCCTCACCTTTCTTAGAGGGAATGCACTTTTGTGCTCACTCGGGGCAGCATTAGTGGCATCAACAATCATCTGGGAAATAAAGAGCAGGGCTGAGTGTGCTTCTGAACCCAGATGGCTGTGGCTTCTGTGTTCCTGGGCCTTCCTGTCTTCCTAGGCAGGCTGCAGTCCCAGCTCAGAGGGTGGCTTCTCGTCTTACACTCACCTCTGGTACCATCACCATCTCCTCTCCTCCTGCCCTGGTCTAGTTTGCTCGTGCTGATAAACCTAGTCAGCATGCTTGGTAGGACTGTCGAAAAAGTCAGTAAGCTAAGAGTGAGGGTTAAGAGTGTTTTCAGAGGCTTTTTTCTTAGCTACAATCTATGCGTTGCTGAATGGGGGTGTTAGAGAAATGAGGCTGTCAGGAATTATTATTTGATACATTTGTTATGCCATAACTCTGGTTACAAAAATAAAGAGAAATTAAAGTATTTTATTGTTACTGCTATTATTTTTGCAAACTCCATAACAGATTTTCCAACTTCTTGAAGCAGTAGATCTTGCTCCAAAGGAAGTCAGATAAAGCAGTTACAAAAGCAAAACTACTTGAGTGACGCAGAAAGGAGAGGCCAAGTCCTGTCCCCTCAGCCTCTCATCCGACACCACCTAGAAGCCTGTAAGCAGTTTCGTAGAACACCAGTCGCTAATACTATCTGCAAAGTGATCCAAGGTGAAAGATCCACCTTATCAACACAAAAACCTGATGGCTATAGCATCAGAAATCTATGTGGTAAGCAAATAGATGCTTCTGTGTGGCTTAAGAATATTTTATTAAAAGTACTTTATTTTTAGATCTCTAAGAGGAGGCCCTAGTGCTAATCTAGTGCTGATCAAATCTCTTTGGAGAGAAGAAGCTAGAGACATATCCCTGGAGCCTGGTTAAAGGGCTTCACAGAGGGCAGATGGGTTCCAGCAGGCTAGCCTGCCTTTTCTCAGTCTGAGACCTCACACTTTCAGTGCTGGGGAAGCAGTCTAAGGAACTTGCCAGGGCATCTTACCTGGTTATCTGGGTGGTTGACAGTGAAGTAGCCCACACAGACGATGACCTCGTGAAGGAGGCTTTCACAGGACACTTGGCTGCAGTGACCTAGCAGGGAGCTGGCCATGTGCCGGAATGCAAGGGACAAGCCCTCTGCCCCTACAATAGACTGACAGAGACAAGGAACAGTTAGAACTCCCCAGCCCAGGGAGAGCCAGGGCTGCAAATCACAAAGACGGGCCTGTGCCCTTTCTGGCACGGTGCTGGAAAACGTGTGACATTTCTACAGTACTGTGTTTAACAGTTCAGTTTAGGGGTTCTTATGCTAATAAATGAGAATAAGTTCAATGTTTAACCTGAAAAGGGACAGAAAATTGAGCATAGCAGACCAAATACCTACACCACGTGGATCAAGATATTATCTACCTAAAGCAATTTATTCCTTTTTTTTTTCTTTTTGAGACAGGGTCTTGCTTTGTTCCCCAGGCTAGAGTGCAGTGACCTCATCACAATTCACTGCAACTTCAAACTCCAGGCCTCAAGCAATCCTCCTGCCTCGGCCTCCCACAGTGCTAGGATTACAGACCTTAGCCATTGTGCCTTGCCTCCATTTTTAATAGTTCATTTTTCTCATTATACAAATATTCTTACTATAGAAAATTTGGAAGAGAAATACAAAAACTATTAAAACTCACCTGTAAATCTACCACTTAGCTAACTTATTAATATTTGTTTTTTTCGAAGGAGAAAATGTTTTCTTGTACACAGAGACAAATATATTTTCTAATTATTTATGTTCAAACAAAAAACAAATATAAATAACAACTAGGTATTACTCAAGTTAACACTTCTATAAACCACAGGCTCCCAAAGAATGTAACCCCCCCCAAAACAGCAAAATATCCCCCAAAACTATGAAGCCCCTCAGCTATGAGGCTTCTGGGATCCTTTCTCTAGACAAGCAAGGGGCTGTTGGCGGTGAGAGACCCAGGAGGAGAGTCTGAGTCTGTCTGTGCAGCCTGAAGCTTCTATTTAATAAACATGTCAAGCAGACAGAGCGACAGGAGGGCAAAGGGGACAGACGAAGCCCACAGAATACACTGGCAGCCCACTCTGGAATGAAGCACCACTGCTGGCCTGTGGGAAAGGGAGCATTTTAAACTCTGCTCTTGACTTGAAGTCTTGGTGGGCTTGAACCAGGTCTGATATGATGCAGCTTGGATATTTCAGAGAATTTATTTTACCTAATAGTGGGTGAAACAGAGTCCTTTCAGTGAGTACTGCGGAAACAAAATGACTGCTAAAGAGTGCTTTCTGTTTCATAGCCCTGAAACAAAAAGATGTTTTTCAATCCCCAAAGAGACTTCAAGAGAGCTTTCCTCCTTTAAATCAAATAATGACACCTTCTCAGCTCAGCCCTTATTTAATTAGTTGAGTCCAGCATGCTATGACCCAGTGACCTCTATTTAACCTTCACTGTTAAGAGCAGGTCAAAGGGCATGTAAGTTTGAATATAAAAATTAAACCAATTTTTCAAGGAAACTATATTTTCTTTTTAGCTAGAATTAATTGCCAAGTCAGTACATTGATTTGTTTCTTGAGACCACCTTCAATTGTAAAAACTGTCAAAGTATATACAATATACAGTGTTCCTGATCTCAAGGCCATCTGTGCCAATATGAATTCAGAGTGAAATCAGACTCTTTGCTGAAGGAAGAAAATATTTTGACAGCCTTATTAGTATACAATGAAATGGAACCAGTGAAGAAAGCAGTTTAATGGATAACCTTTTGTTACTATTACAGGATGGGGTCTCGCCCAAAGCAAGCGTACAGGTTTGTGGCTTTGAAGAAGTGTGGGGAACACTGGGGATGCTGCATCCAGTTCCCAACTCTCTGGCTCAGCATCTGCAAGATGGTTTGGGTAAATTCACCATCTTCAGAAACTGAGTCAGTTCACATTTCTGGAGGCCTACTATGTGCTCGCTAACACAGCATCTTTATACTGCAGTCTTGTCGGATAGCTGTTTTTAATCCTATCCTACAGATCAGGAAACTGAGTCTAAGGGTTCAAATGACCTCTCTAAGGTCCACAACTTGAAGTGGCCGTGTGAGGGCTCAAAGTCAGGGCAGTGTGCCAGACCCAGGGGTCTGATGTGGACAGCTCCCCATACCAGGTCTCTACTCTTGTGCTGTAGAACCCAGGCCACCGACCTGTCTTACGCCATCTGGTGTAACTCTGTGGCAGGTCAAGCCATTTGCCTCATTTCAGTTTTCTTCGTCAGTTCCTTTGAGCCTCCCAGGCAATTCAGACGTTATTTTTCATTTTTCTGAGGTTCGACCTAGATGTACACCTTCCTACTTTCTTGTCCTTTATGTACATAGTTCCTAAAATCTTACTTTTGATACATAAGTTGTTTTGATGAACTAGGTCATGAATTTCTCTGATCATATGTCATAAAAATAGCACTTTTCTCCCAAACTCACTCAATTGCTATACAGTATGCAAACATTGTGTATTTAATTTACTTGTGCATTATACAGGGCTGTCTAGAAAGTATCCAGCCATGCACTATGGAAAAGAGTACTAACCATGGCTGGATACTCTTCAGTCAGTCCTCGTGTACTCAGACATGTTCTTCTATAGTAACAGCGTCTGTGTGGACAGACATGGTGTTTCAGCTGCTGAGGTCTATGTCTCCCTCCCCTCGAATCTGGAGGATTATGACTAATTCAATCAATAACGTATGCTTGATATCTTGACACATAACTACCATATTTCCCCCCAAATAAGACACTGTCTTATATTTATTTTTTCTCAAGAAGATGTTAAGGCTTATTTTCAGGGGATGTCTTCCTCTCTGTGCCAAAATGCATGGTGTGGCTATACAGCCCATCACTAGGTCTTATTATTGGGGTAGGGCTTATATTTAACAAATGCATAGAAATCCTGCTAGGGCTTATTTTTTGGCTAGGTCTTATTTTTGGGGAAACACTCCTCTATGTGACTTCTGAGGTCATAAAAAGCCTGTAGCTTCTTGGAATACTTGCTTTCTGGAAGCTTCCTCTTAGGACACTCCCACTCAGAAACCAGACACCATGTTTTGAGGAGACCAATCACATGGAGAAGCAGGATACAGATGCTCTGGCCAAGAGTTCCATGTGAATCTTGTCTGTGAGTCAATGCAGCCACCAAATATGAGAGTGAAGAAGCCTCCAGATAATTTCAGCTCCTACCAGGAGCCCTGACATCATGCAGCAGAGTGTTCAGTTCTGTCCAAATTATACTCGTAGAATCTTAATCACAATAAAACAGCTGCTTGTTTATCCCGCTATGTTTGTTTTTTAAATGCCTAAAAGTAACTGGGAATAATGTGCTCATCATTGGTAAGTGTACTGAAGTCCCCAGTGATAGAAATTCTGGGTGTTTGGGTCCCCTCTCATGCCGATGAGGAGTCAGAAAGAAACATGTACTGGATCTTGGGGACCAAAAAGATGGCAGCCAGGACCAGGAGGGAGAGAAAGGCCTCTGCAGGTTTTTTGGGCTCATGCTCTGATCAAGGGCAAAGGTACTTGGGAACTGTGGCTGGGGACAGCATCAGAAGGAGTTATGGAAAGCACAGCTAGAATAAGAGAGGCAGAACAGAGATCTAATAAGAAGCAAAGAATTAAGAAGGAAATTTAGAGCTACGTGAAAGACAAGAGAATCGAGCAGCGAAGGCACTGGGGATGGTGAGAACTGCCAAGGAAGGGCGTTTTCTCCTGAGAGCAGGGCATCCTATTCTGAGAACAGCCACCACTCCTGAACTAGCCTGAAAGTGCTCAAGTAGGGGATACATTTTAGGCAGCACATGGCACAGACCTGGACTTGGTTTTAACTTTGGTTGGGAATGAGGTTCTAGAAACAAGCTTTTGATTTTTCTAACATTATTGGCTATTGTACCTAAAAGGCACTAGGGAGTGGGCCTGGTTGAAGTTCAGTGGGGCTCCTTCATGAGTGAGGCTGCTAAGGCCACAAACTCAGAGGAGGAGGGAGGGAGCAGGGAGCTGGGTCCCCTGATCCCCAAACTGACTGACAACGGCTGACTTAACCTAGACATGGAGTACCCTGCAGAAGTATAATCCTGGTCAGAAGACACAGGAAATGAGAAGTTAAGAGTCACTTTTGAGACACTTGCTTTTTCATAAACTCTGGAAACAAAGGAAGCACTTTATTTGGACCTAGCTGATCCTTGCTGGGCAGACTGCGGGACTCCATATTCTGAACACATTAAAATTAGGGTCTCTTGATTTCCAAGCCGTTTTCAGATAAAAAACAATGAGCTTAGGTCTTTGCAAAACACAGATGTTATATTCAACCCTGAGGCAAGAACCATTATTTTTTGGAGCAGATATCTTCTGTTTTAGGTGTGGCTGTAAATTCCCATCACTGTTCATACTGTATACCTAGTTCAGCTGATTTGGAAACAGAAAAGCATCAACCCTAGGGAAGGGATTTCTGTTCTTATTGATGGATAAACTAACTCTGTGAAGTTGAAAGATACTAGATCCAATGATAGAACTTATTAATTTCCTTTTTTGAAAAGAATGGCAGGAAGACATCAATTAAAGAACTGCACACTTGTCATCAGCTACAAAACAGAAGTGTTTCTTCCATCTAAGAGTGGCGGAGATGACTATTTTCATACATTTGTATCTCTATAACCTTTTTCCCTCTGAGCAAAGCAATTCATCTAAATTATGGGTTCATCATCTGCCAAGTTTGTTCCCTTTTTAATGAAATCACTTGACAGTTAATAAACTGAAAGAGAAAGTCTACTCCTTGGGGCTTGCTCTGTTCCAAAGGTTCAGTGTTTTCGAAAATTAAATTTCCTACATGAAAAAAAAATCTGTTTCTAAGCTGACAGTCTAGTATTATAGCATAAAGCAATTTTTCTTTCTTTAGCTATAAAAATGTAATTTATAGGGGTTTGCACATTTAACTATACATGTACTTTACACTGGACACAAATCAGTTAAATTATCCATAGAAAGTAATATCCATCAAAACAGTTTATCTAATTTTGGCTCTGTTTATATAAGAAACCATTACTTTCCTTAATATTTAAACATTGATGAGATGATAATGCATTTATGTAAAGAATTCAAGACAAGAGATTTAGAAGGGACAGTGTGGCATGGGCCGAGCGTAGGCTTTGGGGTCAGCAAGTCAGGGTATACTAGTCCTCACTCAGCAATGTGTAACTGCGGGGGCAAACTACTTAACTACCAGCTCCTCCATCTGTAAAATGGGTATAGTAATATTGTGCATGGTAGTTATGAGAGTAGAGGAGAAAGCATGTGAAGAGCATCTAATACGGTTCCCAGAAGGCAGCAGCTTCATAAATCTTAGGCCTCAGTCCAGACAAAAAACCTCACATCGTGTTTATACCTAAACATTAACTCTTGGTTGGTTAATATCAACAGAAGTCAAGCGTGGTACCTGAAAAGCAGGCAGATCAAGAGCTGCAAAACTGTTGAAGAAGCGCAAACTCTGAATGGCCACTTGGACGGTGTTCTGGGTGTAGCTCTCCTTGGGGCTGGCAGCACTGGGGTCCGAGGCGGGGCCATGGAAGAGGACACAGTAGAGCGTGTGCAGGACCCCAGCCAGGTCTGTGGCCTGGAGGGCAGCTGTCAGCCCCGTGGGATCCTGACGGTCACTGTCAAATATGCCGTGTGACCTGGCAAAGAGATATTCAATTCTTTGAGAGAAATCTACTTAAAGGATGTTAGCATTTTTATAGGTCAAATGGAACAAGAGAAGCAGACCGTTAAAAACAAACCATCTGAGTTGTGTAATAAGGTAACCAGAAACCTCAGGAATAAATGCAGCCTTCCCCACCAAGTGTGCTGTGGCTTCCCTTCTCTTCTGCAGTGCAACTGAGCGCTCTGCAGCCAATGCTGAGGCTGCCATCGCCCTTCCCTCCCTGCACTGTGGAGTCGAGGGAGCCCACTTTGTTTAGTGCCTGCATCTGGGCAGACTGGGCAGACTGGGCAGCCTGCAAGAAGAGCTCTTGGAACTCAGAGATCAAAAAACCACTGTAGATTCCTTTCTGAATATGCAAAGGGAATCTTTTTCTTTTTTTTTTTTTAAGAGACAGAGTTTCACTTTGTCACCCTCGGTAGAGTGCTATGGCATCATAGCTCACAGCAACCTCCAGCTCTTGGGCTTAGATGATTCTCTTGCTTCAGCCTCCCGAGTAGCTGGGACTACAGGCACCCGCCACAAAGCCCGGCTATTTTTTTGGGTTGCAGTTTGGCTGGGGCCGGGTTTTAACCCGCCACCCTCAGTATATGGGTCTGGCGCCCTACTCACTAAGCCACAGGTACCGCCCTGCAAAGGGAATCTTATTAGGAGAAACAGCTATCGGGAAAGCATGAAGCCTCAAAATCCCAGTAATGTGTTGGTACACTGTGACAGGGAGGCCCTTCAACTGCTTTTGAAAGCACTGGTCTAACACTGACACTGAGGACTAAGGGCAGGAAAGGCTGTGGGGCCCAGACTCACAAGAGCAGGATTAGGCCTACAGCAAATCATCCTTAAGTCAGCCTAGCAACTGTGGCAGGTAATGTTGGGAGTAAGCACAAAGAGACAAGGGCAGTGGCAAATGAATCCTCAACTCAGCAGTAAAGCAGCAAGGCTTCGCATAATCAACCTCATTCCTGAACTTGCACATAAACAAAACATCTGGCCACCCAGAGCACGCAGAGTACAGAGTATTTGTACAGAGTATCTGGTGACCCAGAGTACACATGGCTGCCAAGCATTCATTAAGCCTTCTTTCCCTGGAAATAGGTCAGTGTGCTTCAGGTGGGCTCTCCCTATTTACTCTGGCTCAGGGTTGCTCAAGCCTAAGGTACACATTTTATTTCTCTGGCTGTTCAGCAAGATTCAGGGATGGCACATATCACAATCAGAGCAACTGAGATGAAAGGAGACGCTTTTGCTCAGATGCTTGGGAAGAAGTCCTTTTTCCTCCACAGGCCTGACTCTGAGATGTTTGGTCTGGAGTTACTGTGGCCATTTGCTCTAAACACTGCACAGACTCTCAGGTCTCTGTGGTGTTCCAAGTGAGCCTGTGGCCTTTCTTCATGGGACCCATCTTTTTCTCAGGAAAGCGCTTCCTCTACAGCTTCCTTTAATCTGGTACGATCTGCATGATATTGAGCAGAATGTGTTTATGTTTCTGGCATGGGATAATACCTTTCCCTAGTTTTTAACATTAATGTAAGTTTTCTATTTTCCTTGGTCGGAGGGGGGGGGTTGTTGTCATTTGCTGTTTCTTTCAGCTGCAACCTGGGATGGGAGAGAGATGCTGAATATCTGTCTATGCCAACCTCATTGTCTTGGCCAGAACCACCCAAAAGATGCCACTAATTAAATAAGAATTAGGAGGTGCTGGAAGGCAAGTTTCTAGTATCTTGCCCAGTTTCCCAATTTATAACTTATTTTTCCCAAAGGGATCACTTGTTCATTTTAATTTGCTACTTGCATCAAAGTAGAGTTTTATTCATAACCATGTGTAAACACTTCCTGAATGTGCATGATTTCTGATACTGCTACGAACACAACCATGTGATAAGACATCCTTATATACGTTGCCTCTTCTCAAGAAAGAAGCACTGTCAGCATGTTGAGGGCAGGATCTGCTGAGTGCATTTGCATCTCGCACCTTCTCTCATTCTTATTACAGTTTTTCCCAGTTGGGAGAGAAGGTCTCATTCTCCTTATTGTATACATGAAACAACTGAGACCTACACAGGTAAGGTGAGATGTTTTAGGTGGCACAAATTTGTTAGTGGCAAAAGCAGGGCTACTATCCAGAGCTCTTGACTTCATTAAGGTCAGTGCTTTGTCCAAGGAGCAAAATATCCAGGCCAAACAGGAGGTGACCTCTTTCTTCTCTATGCCTTCTCTTAAATCAAATTTAGTGATACTGAACACTGTTCAAGTACATAGAGGCTGTAAGGCAGTCTTATGTCATTGTGGAAAGATGTTTTTGGCTTATAGGTTCAATAAAAATAAGTTTAGGAAAGGATATTTATTTGCTTACAGGTACATTTGAACCTTTACATAAACTTCTCTTAGCTAATGTCAGAGGGCCCTTCCTTCCTTCCATTAAAACTAAAAGACTTAGGGGTCAGACCCTGACTAGAGACGTGAGTGGAGATTAATGTGTCTGAGTTTATTATATAGGTTCTAAAAAGGGGCCTGTGTTTGTTTAACACTGACTGCCTTTTAGAACCAATGACAAGTCAGAAGACGTTTCTCCCTGAAGCTCATTTCTAATAGGTTTTAAGAACCTTGGGGATGAGTGACATCAGTGCTGGTGACAATAGTTTACTGCTCGGTGATTCGAAATGCTGCCTTCCCCCTTACTACTTGTGTTGCTTTTAAATTGATTATTAGTCTAGTCTAATGCAGATATTCATGAATACAGCTTTATCATTTAAAACATTTTGTAACACTTAATCTTTTTGAGCATTTATTAAATGACTTAAGCCCATTGCTATTTCCTCTTTCAAAGAATAAATGCAAACAATCTAAAAAAAGAAAAAGTAAATGAAAGTCAACACACAACCCTCCCCTGCACCACTGTTTAGGAAAACACTAATCTTACAGATTATACAACAATACATCCCAGTCTTCTGCAAATATTCTCCTAATGAAATAAAAATGTTGACTGAAGTAAATCAACCAAGTAAGCATTCCAGAACTCAGATGTGGAAATGGTTCAGAATGCACATAACACTGCTGCGTGGAAAACATGGTTCACTTTAAAGTGAACCCAAAGAGTGCAATGGGGTAGGGGAGAGCGTCTGTCCGCCACAGTCGGCTTCCACAGGACTAATGCAGACCTGAAGGGACTTTAGAGAATGTTTACTTTTGATTCAGCCTAAAGTACAGATAATTTGTCCATGAACAGGCCACTGGCTCCTGTTGGTCTTAACTGTCAGTTATAATCACTTTAAGCCTAAATGTTTATAATAAAAAAGTAAAAGGCCTTATTCATATCAGGCCTGGGTTATAAAGTTTTCTTCAAAAAAATATAGGGAAGATGTGAAAAATCAGATCTGAAATTTTGTATACTGTACTCTGAGATCTTCTTAATTTTACCATATTTTAAGGTGTTTTTTGTTTGGTCTCTAGCACTAGAGATCTTAGTGGGATATTCATTTTTGTTCCTTAAAAGCTAGATTCAGTAAGGAAAAACTAAAACTGGGCCATCAGTATTCTTGTACAGTGCCTGAAAATTCTACTTTGTCTTAAAGGAGAGTATAGTGGGGCAAAACCAGTAGGGTTCTGTGTAGGCTTGAAGCAAGAGGCGACCACCCCATTTTTGGTATTAAAAACCACTTACTCCCGGTCTGGATTAAAAAAATAAAAATAAATAAAAAAATAAAATAAAAAACCACTTATACACCAGGCGTTGGCTGGCCTAAAAAAGCAGCTGTGAGACTTTCATACTCAGGGTCCCTTTTTTTTTTTTTTTTGGAGACAGAGCCTCAAGCTGTCGTCCTGGGTAGAGTGCTGTGGCATCACAGCTCACAGCTCACAGCAACCTCCAACTCCTGGGCTCAAGTGAGTCTCCTGCCTCCACCTCCCAAGTAGTTAGGATTACAGGCGCCCGCCACAATGCCCGGCTATTTTTTGGTTGCAGCTGTCATTGTTGTTTGGCGGGCCTGGAACCCGCCAGCTCAGGTGTATGTGGCTGGTGCCTTAGCTGTTTGAGCCACAGGCGCTGAGCCTCTAGAATCCCTTTGTTCCTGCTTTGTTTGTTCTCACTTTCTAGTCCCAGATTTTTTTTTTTTTTTTGTAGAGACAGAGTCTCACTTTATCACCCTGGGTAGAGTGCCGTGGCATCACACAGCTCACAGCATTTCCAACTCCCAGGCTTAGGTGATTCTCCTGCCTCAGCCTCCCGAGTAGTTGGGACCACAGGTGCCCGCCACAACACCCGGCTATTTTTTGTTGCAGTTTGGCTGGGGCCGGGTTTGAACCCGCCACCCTCAGTATGTGGGGCTGGCACACTACCCACTGAGCCACAGGTGCCAACCCTAGTCCCCAGATTTTTGGCTTGATAACCTTCACTCTGATTTCCTTCAGTGCTGGTGATCTAGAATATTCTCTAGAATAAACTCCTAGCTTCTTGGAGTTTAGTTTTGTTTATGCTGTTAGTTCTCGGATCCCTGAGGCATCATGTGAGAACATCCAATTTCATTTATTTATTTTTTGAGGAAGAGTCTCACTCTGTCACCCTTGGTAGAGTGCTGTGGCAGCATCATAGCTTACTGCAACCTCAAATTCCTGGGCTCAAGTGAGCCTCCTTCCTCAGCCTCCCAAGTAGGAGGGACTACAGGTGCCCGCCACAATGCCCAGCTGGCTTTTCCCTTTTTAGTAGAGGCAGGGTCTCAAACTCCTGAGCTCAAGCAATCCTCTCACCTTGGCCTCCCAGAGTGCTAGGATTATAAGGGTGAGTCACAGTGTCCGGCCAAAACATCCACTTTTACTCCCTGAACTGAAAGACTTGTATTTGAAGGTCTGCAGTGTTGGATGTTTCAGGGGTTAAGTCACTGTGTCTCCCAATAATGGAGGACAACTTCATGGAGGAAAGGTGACTTTTTTCTCAGCAGTATTCCCATTTTCAGCTCTCATGTTCTGGGATATTCCAGGACAACC